ATGGGGATGAGTAACTGATGAGATCACAGATCCCATCTAAGCACAGCATAGGTGACTGGAGGACCCTATGATCTGTTGGACATGGGCTCTGTCTCCTTAGTAAGAGACAAGCTGCTTCCTAGGATGACACAGAGAACTAGTGATCTGTCCTCATTGACTAGAGCTTTGTGAGAGTAGATGGTGAAACAGACACACAGAGCTCTTGTGAAGGAACATTCTCCCTCAGTAATCTGTAAAGCAAAAAGTGGGAATTGCCTCTGGCTTCCTTTGGGATCCTTTTCCAGTGTTTTGGAATGGATTGATGGGATGGAGTTGGGGGTCCCAGAGGTGATTTCTGCTCTTCTGAAAACCACCAATGCTTCTGGGAGGGCAGGGGAGACAAATGTTTTTTTCCCATATTCTCCCATGCTGGAAATCCCAGAGAGAGAAAGCACTAGAAAAGAATTCCAAAAGGAGACAGAGCCATTTATCCTTTGCTGTCCTTATAGATTGAAGAGGAGGGTCTAGTCCTCCTGACTCAGTTAACAATCATGTTTCATGCAGCCCTCATCACAGCGAACCAATCAGGGGTTTCAGATGGCATCCCACAAATTTGCCTATACCTCAGTGAGCATCCAGAGCCCCCATCCAGCTTTATGAGGGACCCCTAGTGCAACAAGTGTGGGGTTCCACTGATTACCCATACCATATAAGTGAGTCTAACCTAGAAAGGAGTTGAAGGACTATTTTCTCTATGTGCAAAAGGGTGAGTCATTCTGGGTGATAGCACAAAGGATTCGTCCCCAAGTGATTCTGTGGGCTCTGGGCTCCCACTCGCTGAAATGTAAACAATCAAAGGAACTTGAATGCCCCTTAGCTGGCATCATTCACAAAAGAGAAGTGATCGCTTGAAAAATCAGGAAGGAATTTTCAATGCCTTCCCCCAAGACACAGAGCAGGTCCTGTTCCTGACTGTGGTCAACAATGACCTTGGCAGAACAACAATCCCACAGTAACCTCGTGGACAAGCCAGGGAAAGACTAAACTTGAAGGTTCTGGACCAGAATTCCCAAAGCTGAGGGAGCTGAGGTAGTGGCAGATCTGATCCCCCACATAAGTAACTGGACAAAGCATTTATTAAATGCTTACTGTGTGCACAAATAGAAAAGAAAGACATTCCCTGCTTTCAGAGAGCTCACATTCGAATGGGGGAAAAAACATCTATGGAAGGCTACAAAACAGGGTAATATATCTTTCAGGTCATTATAGAATGTCACTCTAATTTCAATGACCCTCTTTCACGTGCTCTTTTTCTTCAAGGATTCTATTTTGTCATTATAGTGTGGTGGAGAGAGCGAGCTGGCCTCAGGGCTGGGAATATCTGGGTCTAAGTCCTCCCCTTAATGTATACTGGCAGAGTGATCCTGTGTGTAGGAGAAGGAATGTTTTCCAGGGCCCTATCCTGCCACGTGTGCTGGTCTCATTCTTTTCCTTCAAAAGTTCCGAACTCAGGGGCAGCTAGATGGCGCAGTGTATAGAGCACCCACCCTGAATTCAGGAGGACCTGAATTCAAATCTGTTCTCAGACCAAAGACTTGACACTTACTAGCTTTGTGACCCTGGGCAAGTCACTTAACCCTAATTGCCTAAAAATAAAATAAAAAACAAAAATATCGACCTCATCCTCAAGATGTGATTGGTCACCCAACACAGGCCAGAGACCTTTTCCCTGGTGCTTGATTGTTAACAGGCAGCGAAGAGATGGGGGAGCAGACTCAGCTGAATCAACTTGGTGTCCTCCCTGGACATCCTTCCTGTGCTATGGCTAATTAAGTCTCCTTTTGTTAACTGTCAGGTTGACAAATTGCACGTTTTATTCCAATAGCAAACCTCAACTATCAAAAACACTGGCCCGAGTCAGGCCATTCCTACAGTACTGGGCAAATCACTTTACATCTCAGTGTGCTAACTCTCCAGCTAGGTATGGTACTTCTACATTGGCCAAAGGAGCTGTCTCACCTGGGCCTACCCGAAATCAGTGAAACCACTGGACTGATCCTTGTTATTTGGAATCGCTGTATCTATTGTGTTTCGGATTCTGCTTCTCTAATCTGCATTGCTGAGGATCACAGAACAATGGACTTAGGACCTGTGGTGTCATCTATTTACTGTTCAGTAGCTTTTCCAGTAGTGTCCTTTGAGACACCTTTTTGGGGTTTTCTTGGCAAAGATACTGGAGTGCTTGGCCGTCTCCTTATCCAGCTTATTTTACAGATGAGGAAACTAAGGCAAACAGGGTTAAGGGACTTGCCCAGGGTCACACAGCTAGTAAGTGTTTGAGGCCAGATTTGAACTCAGGAGGATGATTCTTCCTGACTTCAGGACTGGTGCTCTATCTACTGTGCCACCTAGTTGCCAATTTCTTCTTGTCTTCCCATTTTACAGATAAGGAAACTGAGGCCTGCAGTTCAATCTGGAATGAATAGTTTAGACCACCAGACTAGGGCCTGGAATAGACTGAGTAATAAAAAAAAAAAAGCTACATCTATATAGTACTTGAAGGTTTGTAAAGTGCTTTGTCTACATTATCTTATTTGATCCTCAAAATAACTCTGTGAGGTAAGTGCTATTGTTATCTCCATTCCACAGATGGGGAAACTGAGGCTCAGGTCATATAGCTCTTAAGTGTCAGAAGCAAGATTTAAATTTTGTAAATGGGTTGGGCCATGGAGGACCCTTCCAACTCTCAGATTCTGTGCATCTGTGAACCCAGCTCCTCCCAGCTCCAAGTCTGCTGCTCCCACCACTGTACCATACTGCCTCCATACACTCATCAGATAATTACCTGAAGTGGACAGAGTATTCTTGCTGGGCTGGGCAGGGCTGGGCTGGGCTGGCTAGGCCAGGCCCCTTCTAGAGAATATCAGTGACTCTAGGGGAGCCCACATTTTTAATCATTGTTATCTCCCTCAGTATGATCCATTGTAATAAAGCTCTCGGTCTGGTGCTTGCATGTGGGATTAGGATGGGGAAAGGGAGAAATAAGTCGTCTGGCTGGTCTGAAGGATAGTTAGCCAGACATGGAATTAGGAAGGCCTGCCTCTAAATCCTACCTCAAACATTTACTAGTTGAGTGATCCTGGGCCAGTCATTTAACTTCCCTGAGCCTCAATTTCCCCATCTGTAGAATGGGGAAGATAATAATAGCACTTATCTCACAGGCTGGACAGGTGGATAGAGCACTAGGTTGGGAATTAGGAAGACTCATCTTTCTGAGTTCAAATCTGGCCTCA